CGGGGGCTCACAGCCCACCCTGCAGGCAATGAATGTAGCCAGTTCCTGGGCTCCGTCACGAGACCCGCTGTGCACTGGGTCACGACAGACCGCGGGGGCCTCACCGAGCACACGTCCCGTTATCTGCCCAGCCCCCGGCGTCCAGCGTGAGCAGAGGCTGCAACGGTCTGGGCCTGGAGGCACACAGCTGTGTTTCGGACCAGGTGCCTACCTGGGTGCTGCGTCCGGACCTCTGTGCCGCCGTGCGGGCAGCCATCCGAGCTGGGGAGCACGGGGCCCCGGGGCCGACCTCGCAGGGGTGTGCCCCTCACCCTGGCCCTGTGTCTCCCCGAAGCTGACCGGCAGGTGGCGGAGGCGGAATCTCTGGTCCACACGCTGGACCGCTGGTCGGTGGTGGAAAGGATGGTGGTGCCCGCCAGAACACCCGACGGGAAGGTCGCGTTCGGCAGAGGGACCTTGCGGCACCTGACAGGTGGGCCCTGCTCCCTGGCTCTCTTCCTCCTGGAGCAGGAACGGTGGGGCTCTCGCCGTCTGGGCCGAGTAGAGGCGTCCTCACGGGAACTTGGATCAGACGTCCAAAACGCCTCCGTGCCCCGATCGCAGCCTGAACTGTGCCCGATGGGGCCGTCGGGGCAATTCAGAGTCCGGTGGAAACCGGCCCCGGGACCCCAGCCCGGCCCTCCCCGCAGACAGGGTGCTGTGTGTGAACCCTGCCTTCCAGGGACCCCCGGGGGTGTCACACTTCAGAGCGGCGAGCCCTGCGGATACGCTGAGGGGGTGCTCACCGCCCGGCTCTGTCACCGCAGGTCATGGAGCCATTCAGACCCCGTGGGGTCGTGTCACCTGCGTGTGCAAGACCCACGACCCCCGAAGGGACCCCGGTCCTCCCCTCCCCTGCCTCACACACCCGACTTCCCAAATACGCCCTCAGGGAGTCGAGGGGAACCCGGTGACCACAGCCAGCCTGAGCCCAGGGTCGGCCCCACGACAGACCCCATGGAGCCCTGACGTCCGACCGAACCTTCTCTTTTCCTCAGAGAAAATCCGAGCGTTGCCAGAAGTCACCGCGGTCTTTCTGAATGTGGAGAGGATGGCCCCGCCCACCAAGGTACGCGGGAGTCTCGGGGCGCTTCCCACGCTCCGGGAGGAGGGCGGAGGGAGTCGGGTCGGACGGAGGAGGCCCCGGGATGGATCGCCCACGCCATCTCGGCGGCCCCCTTCACCCGAGACACCGCTGCAGATGCCCTCACTCCCTCCCTCCGTTTCCAGAAAGAACTCGAGGCCGCCTGGGGCGTGCAGGTGTTTGACCGATTCACCGTTGTTCTTTCCATTTTCCGCTGCAACGCCCGGACGAAGGAGGCCCGGCTGCAGGTGGCGCTGGCTGAGCTCCCGCTTCTCAGGTTCGGGGCACACCCCAGCTCTCGCGGCTCGCGTAGTCGCGTGTCCGACCCGTTGCCTGGGGTGCGGTGAAGACGGAAGGCAGCAGGGCTGGCGTGCCCTCCCGGACGAGGCCTGTCAGGCTCCTGTCCAAGCAGCGAGCCTACCCAGACAGGTCACCCCGCTGTGGGGGCCCCCCCTTCCGTGATGGTGAAGATCCAGGCAGAAGGAAAGACCCCCTGCCTCGCTCTCTCCACCCAGAGTTCTCATCTCACCCTCGCGTCTGTGTGCTGTCACCTGGTACGCTCCCCCTAGATGGGCACGGACGTCTCACCCTGTCTACTGAGACGCCCACTTTCCACGGCAGGTCCCACCTGAGCAGCACCACCCGCCTGGATGGACGGGGAGGAGGCTCACGCTACATCATGGGGTCAGGTAACGTGAGGTCTTGTCACCGCGTGCTCAGAAGGGGGTATGTCACGGCAGCCACCCTTAGGAAGGGGACAGCAGCGCTGCTGAAAGATCCCAGTGGGGCTGCATGTGACCTCGTGCATGGTCCCATTCACACAAACTAGGATATCTACGTGGTCTGCTGGGGTGGCTGCAATGAAGGACCACAAGCCAGAGCCTTCAAACCTCAGGAATGTACTCTGTCAGCTCTGGAGACCAGAAGTCTGAGATCTGGGGGGTGGGGTGGGGGCAGGGCCGCTGAGATCGGGTCAGGGGGGGTGGGCAGGGCTGTGCTCCCTCCAGAGGCTCCAGAGGAGGGTCCTTCCTGCCTCTTGCAGCTTCTGGGGCTCCAGGCGTCCCTGGGCTCGTGGCTGCGTCCCTCCCACATGGGTCTTCACATCTTCACACGGCTTCTCCTCTGTCTTCTCTTCTGTTACGCAGACCTTTGTCTTTGGATTTAGGGCCACGCTGACCCGGGATGACCCCTCAGATCCCTCACCAGTTATATGCGCCCAGACCATATTCCGAAATGAGTTACCGTTCACAGGTCCCAGGGGTCAGGATGTAGATGTGTCTTTGGGGCACCGCTCAGGTGGCTCTGGATATCATGGGGGCTGTCCTTCTGAGGCTCTCCCTTACTGCCAAATAAAGGGGAGCCCAGGTGACCTCAGAGGGCGGAAGTCCGGAGGCGAGGCCACCCTCCACTGGGTGAAGCCATCTGTCAGACAGGAAGGTGCTGGGGCAGTATAGAGGAGCAGACCGGCGGGGCGGGGGGCGGGTCCCAGGGGCACAATGCCTGTCCACAACGCACACAGGGACCCGCGTGGCTCACTCTGCTCTCACGTCTTTGTGAGTGTGCTCACCGACTCGCCGTGTTGGGTGTTTGTAGGAGAATCGCTCGTGCAGGTGCAACGGCGCCTGCTGAAGGACAAGGAGCTGAAGATTCGTAAGGCCCTGGACAGACTTCGGGAGAAAAGGCGTCTCCTGGGAAGGCAGCGCAGACGGCGGGAGTTTCCTGTGGTCTCCATGGTGGGATACACAAACTGCGGTGAGAGAAGTTCTGGGGGCTCCTGGGGGGGTCCACCGTCCCCCCACCACCCTGCTAGTGCATTTGGGAAGAGACCGCTCGCCAACGCAACAAGGCCCTGGGATTCAGAGGGCCGACGGATGATGAGAACAGGTGGAAAGCGTGGCTCATGTCCCCGGGGCATTTGCAGGGCCCACGGCAGGTGCCCCGTCAGGTCAGCAGCGTGGTCATCGAGTGCTGGACAGCGGACTGCACTCCCCTCTCTTACAGGTGTGTTGAGACTCAGAGAGAGACAGAAGGGTGACGGTGTTAAGACCATTCATGGTGGGCAGGCCCCTAGAAGGATAAAAGCGGTTCAGACTGTGCGCAGTAGGACCTCACCACAGGGCTCGTGGTTTAGCTTAACGTGTGCGCTCAGCGCGATCGTCTGCAGGACACGGAACCTCGGGTCTCCTTCGTCCCGAAGCCCTGAGCTCACGGCTGTGCTCGGTAAAGGGAGACAACGGCAGGTGCGACTTCCTCACCGTCGGGGTCCGGTCCGCCAGCGGGTGCCGGGCTGCGCGAGGTCCACTCCCCTGCCAGCGTGAGGTCCCCACCAGCCTCACGCCACCGGCTCCCTGTCCTCAAGGAGGGAGGGAACTTCCCACAAAACCTGGAACAGAAAGTGCGGGGGCACTGCAGCCGCAGAGAATCCCGCTTGGGTAGATACAGGCTCTCACCCTGTGGGAAACGGCGAGTGCGCCCGCACGGCGGCGTCAGCACCGAGCTTCTGGCGCTCCGCCGAGGCTACCGAACTCAGTACTACTAGGTTATGCCCACGGCCCGTGGCTCACCAGCACAGAGGAGTCCGTGCCCCGGGACCTGTGTGGTGAGGGCACCTGTGTGTCCAGGTGGGGCCGCCCTACCGGGTCATCTCCTCATTCACCTGTGGGGCGGGCTGAAGCCAGTGGCCACCAGTAATGTCCACGAGCTGGCGTGGCCCCGAACACGGGGGCCAGGCGCACACACGGGCGCATTCTTGCAGGAAGGCTGAGTGGAGGGGACGTCCTCTGGGGCCATTGCAGACACATACGGCTCCTGCCTGTCTACACCGCCACACTCCATTAACGCTGTCACCCCCATCCACCCCCCCCACACACACACACACCGATTTCACCACCACCCCGTCTACACAGACGCCCAGCCTACGTCACACACACTGTACCCACCCCACTCCATCATCACTCTGTCTACACCGACATCCGGTCTGCCGTATACGCATACCTCAACTCCACCACCAGCACTCTGTCTACACAGGCACCCAGCCCACCTCACAGACAACACACATGCCCCGTAGGCACCACGGCCCCTGTCTACACCATCACCTTTCTGCCACGCAGATACCCACTGCATCTCAGACATGCGGAGAACCTGCCTCGTCTACGTAGATGCCAATCACGTGTCCCCCACACGTGCACAAACGTGACCGCCGGGTCTGTACTATCCTCGTGTGCACGGGTGCCCTCACCCCTTCGGCCGTCACCACCCCGTCCGCACCACCGCCGTCCTGCATACGGGCACTCGTACCCTGGGCCCTGGCCCTCTGGGCCGCAAGCGTGACCGAGAACGGCAGGTTCTCTGACCACACAGGGCGGAGACTAGGAGCTCAGAGACCTCACAACGCATGGCCGCCGCCTCGGCCAGATGCACGTGGGTTCGACTGCTGCCGAGGTGGGACACGTGTGGTGAGGGGGCCTCTCACACAGCGCGTCCCCTGTGACCCACCTTCCAGGAAAAACCACGCTGATCAAGGCCCTGACGGGTGACGACGCCGTCCGGCCCCAGGATCGGCTGTTTGCGACACTGGACGTCACGGCCCACGCGGGGTGGCTGCCCTCCCGCGTGGCCGTCATCTACATGGACACCGTCGGCTTCCTCTCCCAGCTGCCCCACAGCCTGATCGAGTCCTTCTCCGCCACCCTGGAAGACGTGGCTCATTCAGTGAGTGTGGGATGATCCCAGGGGCCAAATTACCTAAAACAGCTGTGTAACCTGGGGCCCGGTCCCCTCACATGACACAGCGTTGGGGACCGGGTCCCCTCACACGTGACACAACATAGGGATCTGGTACCTTCACACACGACATAACCCTGGGTAGCAGGTCCCCTCATACATGACACAACTTGGGGGCAGGATTCCCTCTTGCACAATACAAAGTGGGGGCGAAATCCATCAAATGTGACACAGCTTGGGGGCCAGATCCACTCACGTGTGACACCACCTTGGGACTGGGTCCCCTCACACACGACACAGCCTTGGGGACTGGGTCCCCTCACACGACACAGCCTTGGGGACCGGGTCCCCTCACACGACACAGCGTGGGGCCCGGGTCGCCTCACACACGACACAACCAGGGGGCCGGGTCCCCTCACACACGACACAGCATGGGGGCCGGGTCCCCTCACACACGACACAGTGTGGGGGCCGGGTCCCCTCACACACGACACAACCCGGGGGCCAGGTCCCCTCACACACGACACAGCGTGGGGGCCGGGTCGCCTCACACACGACACAGCGTGGGGGCCGGGTCCCCTCACACACGACACAGCCTTGGGGACCGGGTCCCCTCACACACAACACAGCATGGGGGCCGGGTTCCCTCACACACGACACAGCGTGGGGGCCGGGTCCCCTTACAACACAACCCGGGGACCGGGTCCCCTCACACGACACAACCTGGGGGCCAGGTCTCCGGACACACACCCCCTCAGGAAGGTGGCGCCTAAGCCACCCTGAGACTGAGCCCTGTTGGGTGACCCCTTTAAAGACAAATTCACAGAAGGAGGTGGAACCGCTGTCCAGGGCGACCAGGCG